ATCTATCTGAAGGAACACCTGTGTAGCCCCCGAGAGAGCCGGCCGGCGGTGTGCCGCTCCCCTGCGGAAGTGGGGAAAGTGGCCAGGGGGAACCGCCCTTCCACGGAGGTGGAAGGGACGGCAGCCAACCCGGGAAGAACCAGCAGCAAACCCGGGGAGGGCTGAGCAGACGAAAGAACAGCGCAGGGTCCTGTGTCGTTCCTCCACGAAGAGGGGGAGCGACATAATGGTGCCGTGACTCGGATATGAAGCCTAGGCAGGGTTTAGTGTCGTTCCTCCACGAAGAGGGGGAGCGACAGGAGAGGGAGTGGGAAAGGGGAGGGTAGCGGGTGGGAGGGACGTTATGGGGGGGAAGCCATTGTAATCCATAAGCTGTACTTTGGAAATTTATATTCATTAAATAAAAGTTAAAAAAATAAAAAAATAAATCAATTCAGGGGCCGGGACCATGGCTCACTTGGTTAATCCTCCACCTGCTGTGCTGGCATCCCAGATGGGCGCCAGGTTCTAGTCCCAGTTGCTCCTCTTCCAGTCCAGCTCTCTGCTGTGGCCCTGGTAAGGCAGTGGAGACAGGCCCAAGTGCTTGGGCCCCTGCACCCATGTGGGAAACCAGGAAGAAGCACCTGGATCCTGGCTTCGGATGGGTGCAGTGCCGGCTGTGGTGGCCATTTGGGGAGTGAACCAACAGAAGGAAGACCTTTCTCTCTCTCTCTCTCTCTCTCTCTCACTGTCTATAATTCTACCTGTCAAATAAAAAAAAAAAAAGGAGAAAATAAAAGTAACTTTTCAGTGGTGAAGCCTGACAAACTACCTAAGCCAGGTGATCAAGGCCAACCTTAACAGTGATAAGTCATAATGATGGTCCATATCCTTGATACAATGTGGTGAAAATGACACTCTGTGGTCTTTCTTCCCAAGACACATAATCTCAACTTAATCAAGAGAAAAGCACCAAACAAAACCCAGTTGAGGGTCATTTTAAAATATCTGCTTTTTGTTCCTCTAAACTATCAAGGTCATCAAAAACAATGAGAGAAATTGTCACAGCCAAGATGAATTTAAGGGGATATGATGACTAAATATAATGTGGTATTCCTATAACTTGGAACGCTGAAAGGACATTAGGGTAAAACTGAGAAAACCTGAATAAAGTATAAATTTAGCTAATAATAGTGTAAAAAAGGTTCATTAATTATGACAAATTGATTCATTAAATGTAAGATGCTAACAACAGAGGAAATAGGGGGACTCTGTACAATCTTTGCAATTTTTCCGTAAATTGAAACTATCCTAAAGTAAAAATGTAGTTAAAAAATGCCTCTAACCACCTTTGTGCCAAGCTAAACTCTTAAAAATTGTCTTATTAATTTGTAGTCTCATTTACTTCCAGAAAAGAGAGAGATATGGTGGCTAAACATTAAGTAAAGCACGATTGTTCTTAATGCTACTAAAAAGTAAAAAAATGAATAGACCATTTTGAAATGGGTGGTCTCAATCAGATGTCTCAAATTCCTTTGCATAATATTTTGAATGTGGAGGGGACTTTATTGTCAAATGTAACTAATGATAAAAACTAAAAACCAATCTCTTCTTTATACTTAGTATGTTAGATACATTAGTATGTGATAAAATGAGTATTTGTAAAACAGAGAATAAACAATATAATAACACCATTTTGCCTAAATTGACTAAGTCCATGTTAAAGCAGCATAAATGTACATATCAACTGACCAATTATATTATTATATTGTTTGGCTAGATCTAGCCAGTTAAAGGGAAAAATGTCCAAATTCAATGAAAATATCCAAGTGAAAATCAGAGAATATTTTTTATATATTTAAGTAAAAATAATCTCCACCAGAAGCATATTTTGTAATGAAAGATCAGCTCAAAATGCTTTTAATTTTTCCTAATTATAAAGCATGACTGCAGTTGTAAACAGGTTTCAATGTTTTATAGCTTTGAGTAGCTTTTACACATTTTTTTTAAAAACTCAAATGCTGTATATTAGATGATCCAGCCTGTATCATGAATTTGTATCAATTACATGAGTCTATTGAGCTATACATTATTTTACATCTAAAGCTCTCTAACAAATTTATTTTAAAATTACCTTTTTAACCATTCATTACTGATTCATTTTATATTTGCCTTCTTGTGAACATTAAAATTAGTTAAAAATAAAAATTCCAAATGATAATCTCAAGGTAATAGCAGATTTTTGGAGTCCTAATATGCTGGGAGGTAGAGAACTCTTTGAGCAAGTGAAGTCTTTGTATTGAAAACTCAGTGTTATCAAAAAGAGAAAGCAGGCCATGTCTTTAGAGCACTTCACATGTATCTGCAGGACTTTAGAGCACGTTGCCATGGAACATAATTCCTTCAAGGACTACAAACCAATGAACGGCCATTTTGGCATAATAGTCCCATTTCTGAACATTATTTAGTAGCATTCATCAAGATGTATTACAAACCCTACCAATTTAGGGACAATGCATTGCCTTTCTAAATGCATTCATACTGGGTCTTAGAATCAACTCCATTTTTGCAACTAATTAGTTACACTGACAAACTTTTAAGAATAGGGCTATACAATTTTAGAAAATGTCGATTCCCAGCTTCACGGAGGCTAACTTCAGTGACAATATTTTTAAATTCATTGACACCCAAATTCTACGTGGCACTTACAGGGACATCTTTGATATCAGGAGTAATATTTATATTTGAGTGGTGGTACTTCCATAAGCATGGCACGTCTTTTATCGAGCAAGTGTCTGTAAACCATTTGAGACCACTGATGGGAGGAACAGAGAGCAGGATTTCGGAGCCAGTTTCTCTTTTCAGCAACAGACAAAGTGAAGCCGGCAGACAGAATGTCAGAATGCAAGGTATGGAGAAACCCTCTAAACCTTTACAGAGGAGCAGAATATAGGAGATACACATGGGTGACCGGTAAAGAGCCGCTTACATACTATGACATGAACTTGTCGGCTCAGGACCATCAGACCCTTTTCACCGGTGACACAGACATCCTACGTCCTTCAGACACAGTTATGCAGAAGGCATGGAGGGAAAGAAATCCTCCAGCGCGAATCAAAGCAGCCTATCAAGCTTTAGAATTAAACAATGACTGTGCCACTGCATACGTTCTACTGGCTGAGGAAGAAGCAACAACCATTGTAGATGCTGAAAGATTATTTAAGCAGGCACTCAAAGCAGGAGAAACAATTTATAGGCGGTCACAGCAGTGCCAGCACCAAAGTCCTCAGCATGAAGCTCAACTGAGGAGAGATACCAGTGTACTGGTATATATTAAAAGAAGATTGGCAATGTGTGCAAGAAAGTTAGGAAGAATAAGAGAAGCAGTAAAAATAATGAGAGATCTGATGAAAGAATTTCCTCCTCTTACCATGTTGAACATCCATGAAAATCTCTTAGAATCAATTTTAGAATTACAGGCCTATGCAGATGTTCAGGCAGTCCTAGCAAAGTATGATGATATAAGCCTTCCAAAATCAGCAGCAATCTGTTATACAGCAGCACTGTTGAAGACAAGGACTGTTTCAGATAAATTCTCTCCAGAAACAGCCTCTAGAAGAGGGTTAAGCACAGCAGAAATTAATGCTGTGGAAGCAATTCATAGAGCTGTGGAATTTAATCCTCATGTTCCAAAATATTTACTGAGATGAAAAGTTTGATTTTGCCTCCAGAACACATTCTGAAACGGGGTGATAGTGAAGCACTTGCCTATGCTTTCTTTCATCTTCAGCACTGGAAGCGAATACAAGGTGCTCTTAATCTCTTACAGTGCACGTGGGAAGGCACTTTTAGAATGATTCCATACCCACTAGAGAAAGGACATCTATTTTACCCATATCCCAGCTGCACAGAGACTGCTGATAGAGAGCTGTTACCTAACTTTCATCATGTTTCTGTTTACCCAAAGAAAGAACTTCCTTTTTTCATCCATTTCACAGCGGGATTGTGTTCTTCTACAGCAATGATAGCCCTTCTCACACACCAGTTTCCTGAAATCATGGGTATTTTTGCTAAAGCTGTAAGTATGATCTCAAGGACTTGTGTAGAGTATTTGTAAAACTCACAAGAAACCACCTGTGATCTGTTTGTGCTAACTCAGTTGAACAGTGGAAAATATTTGTTATAGTAAATTATAAGAATTGACTTGTAAAGTTGCTGTCATAAAATGTCAATCATAAGTTTTTGGTGATTTGAGCTATATACCTTTGTTGCTTAAAAGTTTAAAGAATACAATGCCATATATTATAAAGTTGGTCCTCACAGATCACTTTTGGTGATAAAAATGTTACTTATTACTACCTAAGAATGATCCAATTCTTTTTTATTAATGTATTTGTTTTGATATTTAACAAAAATTCCCTATTTTGTAAACAAGCCTTTTGTTTTTGATTTTTTTTCCATTTAAATGAAATAGTTCTAAATAGCTGTCAAACTTTAAATTCAAGGGTGCAACTAAGATAAAGAATAAGTAGATGAGATGGGACAGGTGAGATATTTGTCCTGGGTACAGAATCTGCCTCCTTACTCAGTGGTTCTTCCTGTTATTTTCTCTGCTTGGTTTTAGTAACCTTCCCCCAGTCTTGGGTATAGAATCATATACAGAGCTTTATTCTCATTTTTACCCATTATTTTGGGCTTGTTCCCCTTTTCCTGACCCAGGAAATACTTGAGTACTAAGAAAGGGGGTATTCCATGACTATTTCCTCTTCTATATAAATTAGTTAATGTCACTGACTCAAAGTAAAATTACCAAGACAATTCCCTTTAAGTCTCCAAGCCTTTAAGAAAATATATCTTTCATGTACACATGTGCATTTTACCAAGTCATAGGAATTAAAACCCGAAACAAAAGTACTGTTTTATTGTATTCCCAAATATAAAATCACCAGGAGCTGTAGAAAAACTAGTCTTTATTTAGTATTGTATTTTCTGTATTTTTCTCTATATGCCTCCATTCTAACTCCCTGTTTTCTCACCATTTCTTTTCCTGTCTTAAAAATAGCTTATTTTGTGCCTTACAGATTAGCTGGCTTTCTTCCGGCACCAGTGGTAGCCAGTCCTGGTTTCCCTTTTCCCTAAAGGTCAGCTGTGTAATGTGTGAAGTTGCCACTGGCTGTAGGCCTAGGAGTCTGAGTCTGCACTGGGTTCTGAGTTAAGCTTCAAGAAGAATGACTTTTCACTGTTCCGGGAGTATAGATATTTGGGTTGGAAACTGACTGTTCTATTTCCTTTAACTGTAAAAAAGAAGCTTAGTGATTGATTCTGCCATAACTCTGTTGTTTGCAATGGTGTTAATTAGGGAGTGAGTGCATCTCAAAGTGAATTGACCTTACTGTGTAATCCAGCATGGAAAAGCAACATGGACTAGAAAGGGAATCCCATCCATTAATAGCTGGGAAAAATATGTGCCATTGTTAATTTGAGATCACAGGCAACAGTGGGAGAGATGGTTCTTGTGTTTCTCTCAGGGCATTGAGGTGAGAAGGAAGTAAAATAGAGCAAGGTACTGGCTAAAATTAATGTGGGATGTACTCACCGTACGCTCTGTCCATCGACATTAGTGTAGAGTGTCTGCCTGAACCTAAGAGGTCACTAATAGTACCAGAAGAGCCTTTAGAATTACATAGCAGAACTTATTCTTTAGCACTCCTCTAGCAGAGTCGGAGAATGAATTATTATCTATTTTAAAGCTGAAGCTTCTTTTTTAGACCAAAAGTTATTGATAAACTATGATTGCAGTTGAATAATAAATAAGCATTTTTTTCACTGTAAAAAAAAATAAAAGAAAATGTCACCACTCTCTGTAAATTAATGATACATTCCCCCCATTGCACAATAATAGGTGGTTATCAGGCTTTCCTCTTTATCCTGTCTCAGCCATTTAGTTAAATCTACCCTGCGCCCTCCAGAGAAATTCATGGTCTGTCACCTTGCTCACTGGTGTCTAGATTTATGGATATTTAGCAGTCCCCTCATTTTCACATTACTAGGCCACTCCTTGGAGTTTAAAAGAAAGGACAGACTTCACCTGGTCATTCAGGCAAGTATCCCAACTCAAAAATCCATTTTTTCTATAATTCCTCCTTGTATCCATTTTTAAAGAAAAACATCACATGAGACCTAATGTATTGTACTTTCACATTGTTTAACGTAACATGCAGAATGTTACATTATTATGCTGCACATGGCTAAGAAATTTTAGTATTCACGGGATTATGGTAATTAAGTCTTCCTTCACTTTGGGTGATGTGACACTTGCTTGACTATAATGTCACTCCACTTAAAGTCTGTGTAAACAACATTATCTTAGTCACTCTGCATTACATTTCCAACTGTGAACAAAATTACAAGGTCAGAGTGGACAAGAATGTAGGTAATCCCAAGGAAACCTCATGTAAATGACTTGCTCAAGGTTCAAACTGGGTTTTCAATAATAACAAAAGGCATCTTTCCTATAGTATTATTACTGTATTGTTGTCTAGATGTCATGTGTGGCAAAGCACATGGGGATTCTTGGATTCAGTGGTAAAGACAAAAGTGTTCATGATCCTGATGTTTTGTGGATAAAAGAGAGCAAATGTTGTTTGCCAAGGCTTCATTCAAACTAACAAAAGTGTGGCTACTCAATACAGAGTAGTACACAGAACGACTGCAACTGGTTTTATTAATATCCACTGATATCACAAACGCGTGTAGTATATTTTTAGAAACGTAGTTGATAAAAGTAATACAACAATGCTTATACTTTCTATTTTCCTGTTTTTTAATAAGCACTGAGCAACCATGATATTTACTTTGAAAAAAAAAGTAAAGTACTGATTTATAAATAGTCTTATCAGTCACTTAGTGAACTATGTCAAAGAAGTACTGTCTTAAAAATGCTCTGACATAAATACTTGAAGCTAGCTTAAAGGCTTTTGGGGGCCAGTGCTTTGGCATTGCAAGTACAGCCACCCCCTGTGATGCCAGCATCCCACATGGGCACTAGTTCATGTCCTAACTGCTCCACTTCCAGTCCAGTTCCCTGCTAATGGCCTGGGAAAGCAGCAGAAGATGGCCCAAGTGCTTGGGCCCCTGTACCCACATAGGAGTCCCAGAAGTAGCTCCTGGCTGCTGACTTCAGGCCAGCCCCACCCTGGCCATTGCAGCCATCTGGAGAGGGAACCAGCAGATGGAAGATGTTCTCCCTCTCCCTCCCCTGTCATCCCTCCCTCTCTGTGTAACTCTGACTTTCAAATAAGCAAATAAATCTTTTTGCAAAAAGGCTTTTGGGTATCTTGTGTTCTAGGTGATTTACTTGGTACATATTGAAAAAGAAAATAACTCAGTTAAGCCTCCACATGGGATATGTTGCAACTAGGCAAGGATTATTTAGATTATTTTGACAGAAGTTTCTCTTCACTGAACTACTCGAAATACCAGAGTAAATAAAGTAGTGGTTTCTGGGGGTGGCGCTGTGGTGCAGCAGGTTAAAGCCCTGGCCTGAAGCACCGGCATCCCATATGGGGGCCAATTCTAGTCCAGGCTGCTCCTCTTCTGATCTAGCTCTCTGCTGTGGCCTGGGTTAGCAGTAGAGGATGGCCCAAGTCCTTGGCCCCCTGCACCCATGTGGGAGACCTGGAAGAAGCTCCTGGCTTCAGATCTGCACAGCTCCAGCCATTGCGGGCATCTGGGGAGTGGGCCAGTGGATGGAAAACCTCTCTCTGTGTCTCTGCCTCTCTCTCTAACTCTTTCAAATAAATAAAAGCAATCTTTAAAAAAAAAGCAAAGTAATGGTTTCAAGAATATGCTTAAACTGTAGACAGGGTACCAATTAGCAAGAACGCAACAAACGTTCTTAAATATAGGCCTTACATTCTATTCACAAAAAGGTCAAAAAGGGAAAAAACCTTCAAAAGCAACTTTGGGGATTCTTGAGACTTGTTGTCACATATAGATAAGGAGTTACATGTATGTAAGTTGTATTCATATGGAGATCATCTGAACAAAGGTGTGGGAACCACAATTTTCTTATAATATCTGGTGTTGAAACTCTGTAGGAGGCCAATACAATTTTGAGGAATGTCATCATCAAAATATCTTCCCAGGGACGAGCATTGTGGCACTCAGCAAGTTAAGCGGCCACCTGTGATGCTGGCATCCCAGGTGAGTGCTGGTGCCAGCTGCTCCAGTTTTGATACTGCTCCCTAATAAAGTGCCTGGGAAAAGAGCAGAAGATGCTCCAAGTGCTTGGGCTCCTGAACCCATGTGGGTGAGCTGGATGGAGTTCTAGGCTCCTGGCTTAGGCCTGGTCCAACCATGGTCATTGCAGCTATTTTGGGGAGTAAACCAGTGGATGGAATCTCTATGTTTCTCTGTTTCTCTCTCTCTCTCTCTCTCTCTCTCTCTCTCTCTCTCTCTCTCTCTCTCTCTTTTTCTCTCTCTCTCCCTTCCTTCCTTCCTTCATCCTTCTCTCTCTCTCTGTAACTCTGCCTTTCAAATAAATAAATCTTCAAAAACTATTTTCCCAGGACTACTTAAAGAAACAGAGACCAATAAAATATCTTCATCATAAGTGATTAATTAAACTTCATCCCCTAGAAGTGCTACTCTCCATAGGTAGAAGCTTCACGCATCACACAACCACTATACAATGTCTTCATAGGCAAATAGAGTTTTCCTGTTTAAAAGGCACTGAAAAGAATAGGTATTCTATACTAGAGAGAGGATATACTCGTGGGGGGGGGCAATTCTTAGAGTTTAAATAAAATCAGTTTTAGCTAATTTCCTTTTCCACTTCTATTTTCTTAAAAATAATAAAGATGTTTCTAACTGAATGTTCTTTCCAGTACACATAGAATGCAAGAAACTTTGAAAGCTCTTTGTTTTAAACCTCATGTAAAGATCCAAATCTTTCTAATCAAAAGCCTCTCCAAACACAAAATCCAATTACTTACTCCCTCATCTAGAAAGAGTCTGAATATACAGAATACTCAACTCAAGTCCTCCTTCTACTTTAAGTAGTTATGTGCAGCACCATAAAAGCACTGCTGGAATCAAACATTAAGTGAGCTGAAAACACTGAGTATTCTCTTCCCTGAATCAGAAATGTGCATAAAATGAGCTTGAAAGCACACACGAAGTCATAACAAATAAGGGCTGAGCTTTCATTGTGTTTCAGCATTAGTATTATATGATGCTTCATAATGGGAAACCTGAAGAATTCAAGACGTGTGTTACCACTGTCAATCCAATGCTGAGATCCTGCTCCTCTCTTCTCCCCAATATCCACCAGCAATTTTCCTTGAATTAGGAGAACGACAAAGATAAATAAGGTAAACACAATCTTAATGAAGCCAAAGGGTGTTAAACAGTTTTCACAAATTGATAAAATTTAATTATTTCCTTATGTTTTATGCACAATAAGTAAATTATAGTTTCAAGGAAAAGGGAAGATAAGTATCATAGATCAAAGGATATAGTATTTCTCTAAGAGAGTGTTTAGTGAAAAATCTTAATTTAAAAGATGAAACTGAAACACAAAAACACAGTTATTTTTAGGGTTAAGTCCATGGACTTTTGATCCTTTTTTCCCAGAGCTCTTCCTTCTAAGGAATGCTATCTCATCGAATGAGGATTTATGAGAGAGTGATTTATAACCAGAAAAATACTTCACAAATTTCAAATAATATTATTTTGCTTATTTGAACTACATGTTTTAAAATGAAGAATAATGACTCAAATAGTATCAGTGACCATTGGTATGTGCACTGTGATCAGAATCAATGTTTCATTTCTATGTGTATAATGATGAAGAAAATCAATAGAAGGAATTATTTTTTCTTCAAAATGTTCTTTAAAATATCTACTATATAGGCCAGGATCTGGGGAAATGGGAACTTTTGTATACTGCTGGGAGGGTAAATCAGAACAGTACTCAAGGCCAATGTGGCAATAAGTATTAAAACTGAAGATGAACAGCTCAACGATTGCACTTCCAGGTCTATACCCTAGGCAAATTCTCCCATGTGGACGCAAAATAAATGATGTCCATTATATCGCTTTGTACTAATAAAAAGTTTGTAAAATAAAAAAGGTGTAAACAACCTACACGTCCATCAGTATTGGAAGGAATAATGAAACTGTGATATACCCAGATGAAGAAAGAGTATAATAGACAATTTAAAAATAATGGACTATGAATAAATCTCAAAAATGTAATGTCACAATTACAAAAGGATAGTACATTATCAAACCACATAGATTGATTTTAAAACACAAAACGTAGTCATATATATTGTTTGCTGATAAATACACATATAACAGAAAAAAAAAACATAGCAGTGATACACATGAACTTCAAAATAGTAGTTACCTCTGATGAAGTGTAGAATAGATTATTGCAAGTCATAATATTAATACTTTACAGATGCACCTTTAAAAATTGTATTCATAATCAAATGTTGCAAAATGTAGACCTAGTTATTTGTCCACAGGTGTCCCTTATTTTCTGTTCTATTAGAACTGTTTTATTTTCTGTTCTATTAGAACTGTTTTATAATAATTTTTGCTAATTCATCACTCTATCAAAATAATGCTACCAAAAGTGATTTCAGAATATAAAGGCTATTTTTAAATAAGTTGGGATAGGAGAAAGAGAGAGAGGGGGAGAGGGAAAAAGAGAGAGAATATGAAAGGAGATGTTTGGGTAATTGGTCTAATTCTAGTTGTCATGTTATAAAATATATGAATCCAAGGCATGTGAGCTTTGGAATCAGACTGCCTTGATTCAAGTGCTGGCTCTGGTATCTGTGGCTATATGACTTTGGACAAGTCACTTAACCCTCTCTTTGCATCAGCATTGTCATCTGTAAAACAAAGATCATAATCACAGCACCTACCATGTAAAGGTTGTTAGGATTTAATGAGTTAACACATGAAAAACCACAAGAGATAATGTTTGGTGAATAACATATTACTATGTTCTAGAAAAAAAGAACTAGTTCATTAAAATTTTATCTTAAATCACCTTAAAAGAATATCAAATAGTTGATTTCTTAATTTCTCTACTTTTGTGAACCAATAAGTGAATCCTCACTTATTAGAATTTTTAGTTATTAGGTTTAATTAATTACTATATGTAATCATATTTCATGCATGTTACACAAAAAATTACCTATGGTCGAAACTATCTGGTGATCTAGAAAGGGCAGCACTATCTATCAAATCTTAAGTAAACATCAACTGTTTTGCATAGTGTCACATGTGTTGTCTAATTGTCTAATAGGTTCTCAGCTTTCATATGAGTCAAATCTGCAACTGCATTGTTGACACTAATTTGTCAATAAATGATTTTTTCCACTTGATTTAGGATTTGAGATTGTACCTTTTTTTTTTCTCCCTCTCTCTTACTTTTCTCCTCATTTCATAGTCTTTGAGTTTCTCATCAGAAATGACAATGTTAATTTACCATCCTGCCCAAGGGTTTATGGCACAGATTATAGGGGTTGTTACAGCAGATTTAGCAGTGGCGTGTTTTTCTTTTCCTTTTTCCTCTTTTTTTCTAGATGGATTGGAATTTAATTGTTTCCTTTTTAGACAAATATGCTTTTGGATTGTCAGGGATGAAAGGGGCATACAGATGTCAAAAGCATTGTAGCACAGTGGGATTATGGACTAAGGTCCAGGGCAGGACAGACAAACAAGCAGGCTCAGATCAGTCAAACAGTTACCTCTTAATAAAATCTCAGATGACCAACTTTTGTTTTATCTTTGCCAATGCCCATCAAAAGATCAAATGAAATTTTGTTGTGTTAACTACTTACATTTCTTTTATTTCTTATTTTAACCATTTGTAAAAATAAAGGTATTTCACTAAATGGAATTGGGAGTTTGTTTAAAGGCAAGCCAATTTAAAATAAAACAACACATGCTATACACATGGCTTTCTTCCTATTAAAACAAAAATCAACTGGGCTTTAAATAGAAACCTTAATAATCATGTTATGTGACAGAACTATGCTTAAATATTCTCTTTTGGTCATGGTATTAATGACCTACTTCATACTATACTTCATTGATAAACATGAAAGCAAAAAATGCATACTTTCATTTTAATTCAAGCCATTTTAAGTTAAAATTATATTGGCTATTTCTATGTAGTAAAAAAAGTCACAAAACACATAACCACAGTTTGAGCACCAGAAGAATTATTTACAAGCAGTCCACTTATTATTTATTTACTTTACATGAATTTTCCATCATCAAGTGCTTCAGGTGCATTTATAACAAACTTTTTGTTGTTGTAATTGCAGTACCTTGAGGATTTACAATTTAGAACAGAGGTCGCAAACTGACAGCCCATGGGCTAGATATAGATCCCAGATGGATTTTGTTTTGCCTGCACAGTGTTGCTTTTTTTCTGCCTTTTATTGAGTTAGTTACCAACATTTTAGAATTGGGGAATTTCGTATAAAAAATCTGGATTCAGCTTCTCTTTTAAAAATCAAATCTTAACAACACTGAGTGTGCATTCCCACATGGCAGCAATCAGCTGAGCAGAGTAATAGCCACCATCTTTGGAAAGATTAGAAACTCTAGGTCACCATAGTCCCCACCATTTCCTATTGCTTATGGTCTTTCAGTTATGTTAGTAGCCTTGCCTCAGTAGGCATTGAAGTTTGCGACTCTCCTGAATTCCTAAACACTCTTGCGCTTTATGTGAATACTTTCAAAAACACTTCGTGATTTTCATCAGATTTCAATAAATGTAAAATCTGATTACATAAAAATGTACATATGAAGGTTCTTCAAAAACTTTGTGGAAAATGCATATCATGAAAAAATATGCTAGGGTTTCAAATTTTTGCATCAAAATAAACATTTTAATCTCATTTTTAAACAAACTCTTTGAAGTAACCCTCATATACAATGTGTGTTTGAATAATCCTGAAATAATCTAAATAACTACCGTTTTGTACAATTAAGACAAAGTCAACATTAATTCCCATGTCATTTTGCTAAAAGAGTGAAAATAATTCAGATGCATTCATATAAAATCAGAATCCAATATCAATATCCAACTCCAAGCTCAAAACTCAATTCCTATTTCAGTTAAAATCATTCATTAATAAAATTTTGTGTGTTCTAGTCTCCCCAGTATTGATGTCACAGTCTAATAGAAAATTCAGCACTTAAGGAGGCACATCCACTGCTTCAGGTCACTTGGGTAGTATTTAGTGTGCATGATATTTAAGACTAATATAGAAAATGCCCCAAATATTAGAAATACCATCATAGTGATTTTCATTTTACATACTGAAAGCCCTGGATAAGTCACATGGTGTGGTCCCCATCTCCCCAAAGCCCTATGAAAT